ATGCCTTCTTTCTCCACCTGTTTATTCCATGACATCATTATCTTTATCTGCGCTTTCCTTTCAAATCACGATCAAAAACCTGCAGATTTGTTTTGATGATGCCGGAGACACAACTTGAATAGTAATAACTGTGGTGACGGACTTTGATCAATAATACCATCCATACAGTCTTTGATTAATGAATTGTTCATTATAGAATCAATAATAAGAAAATAATAATAAGTCGCCCGCTTGTCAGATCACATGAAAAACAAATAGCATATTTCATACATGTACATGTTTCGCTGCATTACAAAATTGATGTCATCCTTAATTTACATTTTGTTATGGCAACTATACATCGTTTATTCTATCCTGTTTTCTGTTGTTCTTGTCTACAATATAGCAAGAAACTCGCTCGTTATTTACATCACCATCAATGAACGAGTAATGAAAACATCCACAAACTATCTGTTGTTAAACTTGACTGTAGCAGATCTTTTACTTGGTGTTTTTATTTATTTATTTATTTATTTATTTTCCCCTCCTCAAATCATATTCCTGCCACTGATATACTTGATATGTTTGGGATATTTAAATGAAGAACATCATTTACTAACATTTAAAACTACATAAGAGAAAATGAACTTGCGCCCCATCATAAGCACTCTTTGATGCTATTTTCTTAGAATCTTTGACGCTATTTTTAAAACCATTCATCTTGACTGTCGTTACGTTTTCTACGCGCGCATTCTACCCTGTACATGTTTTCTTGTGTGTGTGTGTGTGTTCTTTTTTAACTCTGAAAAGAGAGAGAGAGAGAGAGAGAGAGAGAGAGAGAGAGAGAGAGAGAGAGAGAGAGAGCAAACAGCGTTGAGCGCGCAGATGTACTTGTGCAGGAAAACACTGAAACGATGGCAAATGTGATTCTAAAAATAGCATCAAATGGGGTGCCTAGTATAGTTACAAGCATGAACACCATAGATTCTTTCTCTTTGTTCATTTTCCCTTGGCCTTCACTGATTAAAAAATCTAAGCAGGGAACATGTTCAATACGTTAACTTTCTCCATGGCTGTATAGCTTGATTGAGAAAGAGACGGTCCAGGGGTACCACAGCAGTCTACCACATTACTGTGATTGCGGCTTCATTATTATAATGATCAATCTTTATTCAGGAATGATGCCTAAGTCACAAGCGTGTTTTACATTAGAGTCCTGTAAAAGTATAGGCTATCAGCCTTCAGCAAGGTGAGTTTTGAAGCAAATTGTTGAGTCAAACATTTCATTGTTATATCTTCATCCTAACTCCCATACTTTCGCTTATAAACCATACACAATAATTTTGTTTGGGCTGCCTGTGCTTCAGGGTTATCTCTTGAATCTCCGATACCCCCTTCCTCTACGAAAATCAACATTTTAATCTCAATTGGTTGTCAAACCCTTCAACAAGAGGCTGTTTCAATTATTGCTAAGGAAAAAGAACAATCATGATCAATATCTTCTAATATTTACAAAAAATAGACATTGATCGGTCTTAATAACTTGAAAACCAATATTTGCAGAAGCATAACTTATTAATTAATCTCTAGCTACAATATTAATCCAATGAAAAAGGATTTAATTAAAGTGAAAGTATATTAATGTTTTACCCAACATATGAAATAAAAACAATAATCTTACTCATATGAACTTATAAACCTGTCTTGACGGTCGCCAGGTGGAGTGTAATAGTGCAATGAGAACAACACAGCAACAGGGAAGACATCCTGATTACTAAAGAAAACAGTTCATATCTCGAAAAGCATTCAAGCCCTCGTACTTTTCGATCCCTTACATCCTAAAAAAGGCCATAATGCCAGATACAGAAGAAGTTATATTTGTCGTTCTGTTTTCTGTTGTTCTTGTCTTCAATATAGCAGGAAACTCCCTCGTTATTTACATCATCACCAATGAACGAGGAATGAAAACATCCACAAACTATCTGTTGTTAAACTTGGCTGTAGCAGATCTTTTATTTGGCATTTTTTTTGCTCCTGAATACATATTCCTGCCTTTCTTTCGTCATTCCGTGCCAGATGGAATTCTTGGTGAGTGGTGGTGTAAACTACTTTTAGAAAGTAGCATCGCTTGGATGGCCTCCAAAGCTTCTATTTTCACCATGATTTGTTTATCAGTTGAACGATACTTTGCTGTTTGTCGTCCTCACACCTTCAGTCAGCGTTTCTCGCCAAAGATCGTCAAAGTACTCGTTATAGTGTCCTGGATATATGCTGTTGTTGTAATGTCAACAATTTTTGTTCATACTTACTTGAGCAAAAATTGTTTATACTGCTCCGTTAGCGTTTTGCTAGAAATAACTTGTTCCTTGTCTCTGATGATATTTTTTACTGTGAAAATATTCCTTTCCCTGTGGTGCAAGCAGACAGTCGAACCTACAGGAGAACGAGAGATCACCGAGAGAAAGAAGAAAAAGAAAGTCACTTATTGCGTTCTTGCTGTAGTTGTCACTTATGTGGTGTGCTGGATTCCCATAAGTATTAACTACTTACTACTTAGATTATCAGCCAGTTCTGACATAACCCTAACAATATTAATATTGGTTGCTTCTCTTAACGCTGCTCTGGACCCGTATCTGTTTAGTTTTCAAAGTTCGAAATTTAAGGCTTTGGTGAAAAAGGTTCTATGCTGTAGAAAAGAGTCCTCGCAATAAGGCAAGGCAAGGCAAGGCAAGGCAAGGCAAGGCAAGGCAAGGCAAGGCAAGGCAAGGCAAGGCAAGGCAAGGCATTAACTTTTGCACTGTGTTTTCTGTATTTTCTACATTTAAGGCGAACGTCACAATATAAACTCAAATGCCAAACTTTTCCTTCAGCCATCGTTTTGTTGGAAGAACTGAAAATTCTTAGCTCTGGAAAAAAATGATTATTTTCGTCCGATGCAAGCAGACAGCTATATTTGTTTACTTAATGCTGCACTGAATCCTTTTTCGCAGAGCCGTTAAAGAACTAAAAGGCGGTATGAAAATGTTGAAGAAATCAATGTATTTGTCGATGCACAAAACTGTTCCAATTGTGCTCCTTTTTTTCAAAGTTTGCAAAGTTTAATCTGGACATGTTCGGCTGTCCTACAACCATTGATTAAGTTGGTTAAAATCGTATCTAAGCGATTAGAACACAGCATGGCTATACAAATCAACATGGCTATACAAATCATCAGCTGTCTGGTCCTCGACCTATAACATGCGGAGTTCCTCACGGATCAATACTTGGTCCTCTGCTCTTTTTAATATACATAAGTGATTTACCGAATTGTCTTACACAAGGTATAACTAGAATGATGACACAAATATTAGCTATGCAGCCTAAACAATGAGTAATCTTGAAACTCAAATTAATTTAGAACTTCAAAGTTTTAACATTTGGCTTAGAGCTAATAAATGAAGCTTAAATATTTCTAAAACCGAATTCATGATTATTGGCTCACGCCAAAAGCTACAAAATCAGATAGTACCATCACCTTACAAGTAGATAATGAACAAATAAAAAAGGTTGAAAATACTAAGTCTCTTGGGGTGTACATAGACGACACCTTGTCATCCATATTTGTGAAATCTCAAAAAAGATTTCCTCGGGAATTGGTGCACTGAAGCGAGTCAAAACGTTTATTAGTCAACACACTGCAATAACAATATACAAGGCTTTAATTGAGCCACACTTTGATTATTGTAGTTCTGTTTGGGATGGACTATCTCAGCAATTTAGTGATAATTTGCAAAAACTACAAAATCGTGCAGTCAGAGCTATCACTTGCTCGGGCTATGATACTAGTTCAGAATTATTGCTCAAAAGACTCGAATTAGATAAATAACATATTAGTAGAAGCTGTCATGATGTACAAGTCTCTGAAAGGTCTCACGCCCAGCTACTTACGAGATTTGTTCACCATGAAAAATACTCCTTATCAATTTAGAGAATCCGACAACAAGGTTAATGTTCCTAAACCTAGAACTGACTACTGTAAGCGTAGCTTCAGCTACAGTGGCTCTGTGTTATTATGGAATGGATTGTCAGTTGACTTGAGAAAGTCAAAGTCTCTCAATCATTTTAAAAAAGGACTTGACAAATTTTATTCGTTATCAGACTCCCACACGGCAAACATGTAAACAAGTTTTAATTTTAACTTATTTGTATTAAGAATGTAACTGATGTTTTTACCGTCTATAAATAAAGTTTTCTGTCTGTCTGTCTGCCTGTCATAGTCAGTGGTAAAAATTACAATAGCGTGGCCAGCACTGATTTCCAGCGTAAAACTAATGTTTGACTAATGATTGAACGCCATTGTGTGCGCTCGATCTAGAAACAGATATCAAGAACCTGAGACACCGTGTTAAAGATCATTAGTTACATTAGCGCTTAATTTCCGTGCGTTAAACAAAGAATGCCTCATTCCATGGGAAATGAGTTATCACGTATTGCAAGAGACCATGATCTCTTGGTATTGTTAATAAACACGCCATATAAAGGGCTTCATTGCACAATAACATTATGTTACTAACATTGAAAACTATATTTTTATTTGCATTTCTACGGCTAGTTTCATTGTAATAAATTTATGGATGAGTGTTTCATGAGTGCCATGGCAAAAATCTCTAGATTTTGAGATTTTTCAACTAATGTTTTAACAGATGTTTCGGGGCCGGGTATGGGACAATGGGATCGATTATTTTTCTGTCGTTTAGTTCAAACCCCACCATAGCCAGATAATTAAGATTGTCGATTTTTAAAAGCACTTGAATTTTGCATTGTTATTTACTCATATCCATTTTGCTCATATTCAACCTTCAAAGCACCATGAACTGAGAAGCGTGAAAAACACCATTTCAAAACGCATGATTAATGAGCCTTTGAACCAATAGGCACCTTGCCAAAATGGTGACCGGAAATTGAAATGCTTTAAATTAAAAAAAAAAAAAAATAAAAAAAAAAAAAAAAAAAAAAAAAAAAAAACACTAGAAAGAGCGAAAGAGCACCTTTGCTTTAGTGACCCTACAAAGATTCATTATTATGTCAATTGTTTTATCGGCCAAGAAAACTTAAGTTGAAAATTGGTAAATTTACAGACATTTGTATAATTATGTCTGAGGGTATACGCTTCCAGTGCTGGTGTTGGTTTTTCTCTCAGTATGATTTCAACTCAACCGAATTCGCGGCCGCCATTTTGGCAAATGGTCTATTCTTGGTTTGCAATCAATCCCAAGAGAGCACAATAACTAAAGGGATGTCCGCCATGTTGGAAGATATAACAAAAGACGAAACCAGGAGAGCAAGCGATAGATGGAACACACCCACCCATCCCAAAGATCTGTGTTCGATGATCACATCACGCTAACGACTCTCCGTGTTGCCCCTGGCTTCAGCAGAGGGTTGCCCCCATATCTTAAATCAACGATAATGACGGCAAGTACTATTTTATTTATTTAGCCACAAGTAAATAAAGAAACCTGACCAGTCTTTCTAAATGGTGGCTATACAGCCCTGAAACGTGAATCATCTTTGCAAATCGATAATAAAAGCTTGCTCTTTTTCAATCTTAGGGATGGAAGCCTTACGTCTAGTTAGACTAGCCCTCCCTCGGCCGGGCTCGTTGTCGTATGTGAGCAGAGTCGGTTGTTTGATGGCAGTTCTCTCCTGTGCTTCGAGGAATTTTCTTCGAGTTCGCCTGATTTCCTCCTTCAACAAAAAAGTCAACATTCCTTTTCGATCACGTACAGTTCAATCTTAGAAAATATTCTTCTCATGAAATTGCACTTGGTAAAATTGTACCATAAAGTTTCACGACATGTTACGAATGTGAACAAGTTTCCAAGTTTCAGTGCAACGTTGCTCGAAATCAGTGTGTCTCAGTGACATTCTCACCATGCAAAAAAAAGAAGAAGAAGAAAAAAACAAAACAAGGAAAACAAAATGCTAGTCGGAAAGTTATAAAATTCCTTGATTTATCATACAAGTAATTGCCACACGTGACATCCCTCAAAAACTCTGCCGTAAAACAAGTTAGCATCAGTGTGAGTTTGTAGTTTGTATCACGTGATCCATCCTTTTCCCACCGTTTTTTGTTGTTGTTGTTGTTGT